ATAATAACATATATTTTGTTATATTATATTTAATATCATTTTATGTAATAATTTATTATTATATTTTTAATTATTCTTTGTTTTTATATAATGATTTTGATATTGTAAATATATGTGTTCTATGTTTTATTTTAGTTCTTCTTTTATGTTTATTTATTTTTATTTTATATATTATTAATGTATTTCTTGTACTTGTCATATTATTTTGATTTTGTTTCTATTATTTTGATTTTTATTACCATTATATTATTTCTTTTTATTTGTGTTATTGTATTATATTATTTTTATATTCTTTATATTTATTATTATTTGATTTAAATGCTTTTAAACTATCATTATATTCATTTTTATATGTTTTAAATTTTGTTGATTTATTATTATTCATCTTTTTATTATGTTGTTATTCTTTTATCTTTTCTTTTTATTATTTCTCTATTCTTGCTTTTATTTTCTTTCTAAAACATTTGATCATTTCATTATTCATTCTTGATGTTCATTATTGTTTCTATTATTTGTTTCACTTTTGTGTTGTTTGATTTTCATCAATTTTCAAATACACCCAATTATTTCTTTTCTCATTTTATTTCTTCAACTTATTAATCATAATCAATATTAATTTCATGATGTATATAATCTATCTCTTTCTATTATTTTATAACATATAAGTTTAGATTAAAATAAGAGAATATCTTAAAATAGAAAAAAAATTTGAAATGATAATCTTAAAAATATTTGAGATTTCTGTCAAAACAAAAATAAGAATAAAAAATATAATACAAAATAATAAAGTAAGAATTACATTATGATACATTGAAATAATGATAACACCAAATTATTTTAATGATATTAAAAATTTTATTAATTTAGAAATTGGAATTAAATAATTTCAAAGAAATATTGAACGATTTCATTTTAATCTAATTCATTTAAATCATTATTCAAGAAGATTATTTCATAATATTGAAACATTTCATATCTATAATAAAGAAGATATATTTGATGATAGCAGAATAGTTAAACAAGTAATATTACAGAGTATATTATTCAACATATTTAAAAGAAAAAGACGAATGAAATATATATAATTTTGTTCGAAAATACAAAAGTAGATAGAAAGAAATATAGAAATATAATACCACAAGAAGTGAATTCATTTTGAAATAAAT